TCAATGTTATATATAAAATTACAATATGCCCAATGCAACTAAATTTATTTGAGTGTGAATGGATGTGCTTTCTATGTAATTATTATATATTTCAGCTGTCTTGTCCTCATTTACTAACTTGTACTTTCTTCCAGCGTAGTATTTAAATCATAAGAACCGTTCCGTTACCTAATAAATAAATAAAATATCATTCTTTTTATTTACCATCCCATATATATTCTTAAGGCCAAACATTTCACCATGAGCAAACTGGAGCTACCAAATGCAAGAAATGAGTCCCATCTCCCGAATTAATAACGGAATCTTAGAGTTATTAAAAATGGCAGTCTCCAGAAGTATTAACTTTTATTGATTGAATAAGGCATTTGTGAGCGCAAGTTCGCGCAAACACGGAGAGATTGTTAGGTAAAATAAAAACGGAGTGTCGTAATGTAGAGTAATTCTTCACCCCATATCACACACCTTCATATTAGTGAATTTAATTGGATATTAATACGAATGCCCAAAACACCTTCTGCTAAATAAAGTACGTTAGTTTTAATGAGAACCAACAGAGGTACTACATTGGTGATGAAACATGCAATGCACCTAACAGGAGAATATTTATAACAGTCATATAAAATTCTCAACGTCCAGAATTAATGACAAATCACATTTTGAAATGTCAACATTTACCCACGTTTATAGTGTGTAATGAATTACGCGGTCATCACTGCAACAACCTCACAAGAATAACTAGTATTTGGACAAAATTTTAAGCTTAATGATCTTCTTCTTTGCTATGTAACGTTAATAACATCTTTTGCTTTTTTTTAATGGTAGGTAGTCCCGTATACGCAGTAAACTACATTATGAGACTGTACCGCGACAAAGACAAAGCTCTAAAATGTAATTTATTGTTTAATACTGTACGATGGCATTGAACGAAAACTACAAAGTAACAAAAGAATTTTTTGTTGGAAAAATCTATTTAAAGAATTAGACTTAATAAAGTGGTTAATGTACCTACCTACGAAAAAGATGAATGATTGAATATTTGTTTGCAACGAGCACGCAAGAAGTGATTTACAATTAAAATGTATGACTAACACCCAAAAATTGCATAGTTTGATTGGAGGTTAAGGAACGGCCTTGCAATTTGGTAATAAGAGCGGAATCCTGGTAGCGTGCAAACTAACGGTTTTTCTTATGCAAGGGTCCAATTTGGTAAAAGAATGCATTAGGAAGCGGTGACTAATTTAAATAGGAATGACCAAATGGTAATATCCTTGTAAGCAACGGATGGATCTGCTTCGTCATTAATTATCGACTTATGGAATGTGTTACTAATGACCAAATTGTGTTTAATAGAACACCGTTTAATACAATTTTTGGTAACAACAAATAAGGAAATCGTAAATTTTGGTAAAAGAAATATTAGGTAAACTGTTAACTGTGACTTCATTAACAGTTGGAACTAAACAAAAATTAATATAGCACTTTTAAGCACATGCAAAGTTGGATAATTTTTATGCGCTATACAAAAGCCTGCCTTGTGATAAGAAACATTCTTTGTTAGACACTGAAATTAATAGTTTTCGTTCCATAGTGCACTTTGCAAAAAAGAACAAAACAACAATATACACAACCTCACTTTTAGTAAACATCTTTCCTGACAACTAACACATACTACTCCGCTAATAATAGTACATGCCTCATCATTTTATAGTATTGACGCTCGGCCTGAAGATGACCCTACGTGGTTGAAATCGATAGCCGCAATAGTACCAATAAAAACGTGTTTTAAAAAAGATTCTCTTTGAACCCAGTCTACATCGTACAACACGTTTAAAAATGGAACAATACATCAACCGAGTTGCGATTGCGTTATATATTAAAAAATAAATTTTAATATGCTATCTTTTTAGATTAACATATACAGGGTGGTCTATTTTTAAAAAATCATTTGAAAATAATTTCTATAGATCCATCCACAGTTGATATTTGCACATAAGATTTTTTTATATCTTTAGGGGTGGGCTAGGAAAGACTGACATACTGTTGTAGGACGCTGTATAAATAACAAAGGCAATTAGATGTTCCTTTAATCATATAAGTAATACCTTTTAGCGTTGCATTAATTAAAAAATGTCTATAAGATGTCCTTTGTTTCGTGGGTCGTGGGAATATGCAAATAGGGCCTTGTAGTACACATGCAGGACAGGGCAGTACATCGGGCAGAACTTAGCAGTACACAGAATTAGTGGCCGGAGAGGGGAGTACACCAAGTACTGCCAATTTTGACAGTACCTGTACAGAAGTTTGCTCAGTGAAATACCCCTCGCATTTTGTGCATATTTTACATGCCACCAAGCTTACCACGTCCCTGGCAAGGCGCTACAATTTTACGCAGTACATTCCGATACAAAAGTCGATTCTATAGTAATTAGACAGTGTGCCATACAAGTTGCATAACATCAAGGGGCTTGAAGGAATATCGCAAGAGCAGGGTACACAAATTCTTTTTTACACCATGTACAACAGTAAAATTATTTATTGAAGTTTTACAAAACGTAAAAACACATGTAAAATGTACTTAACTGCTTTCAATACTGGTGTGCGTGAACCGTTATCTCCAATGGACCAATCATCTTCATCGGAACTGCAGGCGTTTACTAACCTCATGTTTTCCCATATATTTGACATGAATACATTCCTCTAACCACTGCGTTGACTTGGTATGATTCAGATCATCACGATAATCCCTCGTTTTACAAACCATTCTCTACGAAACCACGACGAGCACGGCCATGAACTACGGTGTACCTCTGACCAGGTTTTTAACAACTGCGACCACTTGCAAGCATTCGAATTAACAACAATTTCTGTCTAAACTCATGATTTAGGGCTTCTACGCAATTTCCAACTATAGAAAATAAGTAAGGTTAGGTATGGTTTAACATCTTTAAGCAAATTACCTACCGTATGTTATCGCAAATCCAAGGTGTACACGTTTTCGAAAAGACGAGTTTTGTATAAAACTGGAGATGGAAAATGTAAAGCAAAAACTAGAAACGACGAAAATAACCTCAAGCACATACTGTCAAAACATTATTATACCTAATTAAATATAGCACGGAATGCACCAATCGTGGAATGTACTACATTTTGGACGCTTTCGATTGGTTACTTTGAATTTTTGTATAATTAGTTCACATACCTATCTTCCAGGGACGTAAGCTTGGGGGCACTGTATATATTCAATACTGCTATGACTCACGGGGTAATTAGGTATTGCATCATCAGGAAAAAAGACACTAGAATTAATTACAGGGGATATCCTTGAAGCGCAATTCTGTTTTGATTGTGGAAATTGAGATTCTTTATGCTCACCTGTTTGCCCGAAACTTGTAAGATACCACACACTGATGAGCTGTCACAGGAATGAATCATTAAATCGATCTCTTGCACTTTGTTTATATTAAATCACGTTCTCTGCTAGGCGCAATATACTGAAATCATACCACTAACCACGACGACGACCGGCCGGCAAAAAAGAAGTGGTGGGTGGGAGCGATAACAAAACAAAGACAGTGACTGTGCGATGAGCCGATTTTGCACGTACCAGTGGCGTACCACCTGCAAATTTCAATTGACCGAATTTAAAAAAAATGTCAGATCGGTATGACCACGACTCGTGACCGGCTAATTTACAATTTAGTATCGCGTTCTTTGGGTACACCAAAAAAAGAAAACTGTTGCCTTCGTAAAACCGGTGTCTACTAAGGGCCTAGGACGATTCGGTTACATACATCATTAATAAAATTATCACTCTGTTTATTCATTACTGAAGTGGAGGGGCTCAGGGCCCCGGACCCGGACGGCACTTTATTATTAGGAGCGGCAGCGTCGTATCTTCCAATAATACCTCGAGGCGTTTTTGATAAAAGCTAAAACTGTTCTCAATATGTTGTATGGCGTCATGTATTTTTCTAACAAGTCGAAAGCTTTCCAAAATTTAAACAAATTAGGTATGCACTATTTAAGGCTTACGATGGGCATATGCTTCAATTAATTAACCATAATTTGCCCCCTCTTAATGGTCTATGACCTGGTCAACCTTTTTACTGCCCCTGGTTGAAAATTGTAGCACGAGTTTACCTATAGCGAATTCTGTAATGCTAAAGTGCCTACCAAGCAATTAAAAAAATTGTTATCGCCTTTCAAAATTTTGTGTTGAGTATAAGTTACCTTTTTAGCGCAAACCAAACAAAAACAAATTCTAGTCTGTCTATCTGTCTGTATTGTAGAGTGTGTTGTGCATCTGCTACGTGGGTGATATAGGTAGCTTATATGCCAGGAAGTGGCCCTCCTCCTTTCAACCTTCTAGGTTCTAGCAACTACTAGCAACTGCTCAGGCGGAGAAAAAAGTGGAAATTCTATATTACTACAGTTTCCCAGATACAGTCTTTGGGTTTCTTTTATTGGGATGCGTATAGGAGTAGTAACTTTATGGTATATCTAAATAGTTGCACCCATTGCCCCCCCCCCCACTCCGGTGTGGGTAGTGACCAATACCTACTTATAAGTGGCTCGTCGGGCCCAAAACCCACACTGGTAGTGTCCAAGTGTCAGCGACACTGTCGATAACGTTGCCTCTCGGATAACGGGCGACCTCTCGGGTGACCCCTTTCCTTAGTAAAGGGGTTGTCAGCCAAACCCTGGGTAAACCCATGATGAGACCGCATTTCTGCGCTACTCGCGTAGGAATTGTATGGAAGATAATCCAAACCCTTTCTGCGCTCCTCGTCAGGAGTGCGACCAACAAGCAGGGCCCTCGGCCCTCAAAAGGTGTCCGGCAACGAACTCCAATGCCGAGCCTTATTCAAGGACCTGAGAGTGGGCCAGCTCCTATATTCACGCGAAGAATAGAAGCGTCCAAGTCAAGCGGACCCTGCGCCAAAGCCCAGAGCTGTGCCTGGGTCGTTGGCTCAAAGAGGGCAATCCGACGTCAGGAACCAAGCATTTTGGAGTCTACGCACCAAAATTAATAAGAAAAAGTGTTTTCCCGAGAAATTTTGGTGCAGTTGATTTTTGGCAAAAAAGGAAGGTTATACACTGCCTTTTTTTGAAGCCCGAAAAAAAAATTGTCTCAGATCGACCCGGAAAAAAAATTTTCTTATAGAATATGGCCTGTAGAATCCATAATTTCAAACAGTTCCAAGATTGGGCTACTAGTTCAAAAGTTACAGCCCTTTGAATTTTTTTTCGAAATTGGTTTCTAGTCTATAACTTTTGATCGAGAAGTCTAATCGAAAAAGTACGAATTGTTTTGGATTCTACGCACCAAAATTAATAAGAAAAAGTGTTTTCCCGAGAAATTTTGTTGTAGTCGATTTTTGGTAAAAAAGGAAGGTTATACACTGCCTTTTTTTGAGCCCCGAAAAAAAAATTGTCTCAGATCGACCCGGAAAAAATTTTTTCTTATAGAATGTGGCCTGTAGAATCCATAATTTCAAACAGTTCCAAGATTGGGCTACTAGTTCAAAAGTTACAGCCCTTTGATTTTTCTTTCGAAATTGGTTTCTAGTCTATAACTTTTGATTGAGAAGTCTGATCGAAAAAGTACGAATTGTTTTGGATTCTACGCACCAAAATTAATAAGAAAAAGTGTTTTTTCGAGAAATTTTGGTGCAGTCGATTTTTGGTAAAAAAGGAAGGTTATACACTGCCTTTTTTTGAGCCTCGAAGAAAAAATTGTCTCCGATCGACCCGGAAAAAAATTTTCTTATAGAATGTTGCCTTTAGAATCCATAATTTCAAACAGTTCCAAGATTGGGCTACTAGTTCAAAAGTTACAGCCCTTTGAATTTTCTTTCGAAATTGATTTCTAGTCTATAACTTTTGATTGAGAAGTCTGATCGAAAAAGTACGAATTGTTTTGGATTCTACGCACCAAAATTAATACGAAAAAGTGTTTTCCCGAGAAATTTTGGTGTAGTCGATTTTTGGTAAAAAAGGAAGGTAATACACTGCCTGTCACAGATCGGGGAGAAGCGCTCTCCAGGGTTTAGCTCAAGGCAGCCTGAGACGAAGCCCAAAAGTTGCGGGTGCACCACGAAGCTCAGGCGAGGTGCATTATGGCTGCATGATGTGTTTGACGGGTTGGAAGGTAAGGGACCTTTTCCTCGACTGGTAGGGTTCCGTCGGAATTCGCAGGGTGCCTTTGTGGCCGAATGCGAGGACTGGTTGGAAAGGATCGTCTGCGCGTATCTAAAAGTGCAGATGCACGTTTCTGGGGTAACCACGGTTGAAGCGCGTCCAGGGACAAGATCCTGGGTTCAGGTCGAAAGCGAGTGTTCCGGCTGTGCCAGGTAAGGGAGAAAGCTCAAGCGGGGGGCGGGACCCAGTCTCGTTGCGACGGAGGGGATTCAATCCCTCAAAAGGGTGTCGGGAATACTACCGGCACCCTCAACAAGTGTTGTCTTCCTTGCTGTGGTGCCTCCGCAGTCTGAACGAGAAACTGGAAAGATTCCAAACACTATGAAAGAGCAGGAAGCTCTTGAACAAGTCGATAGATGGCGCAGTAGCCATTGTTTCTCCGTTAAACCGGAAAAGACCGAGGTTGTTGCTTTTACGAATAGACGGAGAGCGTATCTTGATGGGCTCACTCTTCGAGGACGTCGACTGCAGGGTCTAGACAGATCATTGATGCTTCTCAAGAATTGAAGATGAGACCATCCTTTTCAAGAAACTATCGTCATGAATGTGATAGTACCTACGTAGTACAGGGTAGTCTTGAGGGTACGGAACACCACCCAGTATAGGACAATTCGATTACAAACTACCATACAGATTCTAGGAGTAATACACGAACAGTTATTAAGTACTCCTGATCTGAGGGTATTGCTGGGGGGTATTCCGTATCCCCCAGACCTTCCGGTACTACATTCTGCCCCACGTATTTCTGAAGAGGATCGCTACCCCTCCCAGTCTTGCTTGTCTGAAGGTAAGTTTAATGGTCAGATTGTTTATGAACCGAGGTTCTTTTGGGAGCTGATAAAACACCCAGGAAAGAAGGCTTTGATGTTCTCTTCCCTAAAGCTATCATGAGATCCTCCAGCAAAGTGGAGATTTAGAATTGATTTTTTTATCCGAACACAAAATGTGTATGATTGCATTGCGAGGCGCAGCCGAGTGATTTAACCACATGAATGCGACGCGTTATCATGCGTGATCAATTGCATAGCTCATTATATGGCTACAAGTATTTATTTGCACTAAATTTTGTATCACAATTTCATTAACGACTAATACTTAACAGGTAAATGGTAAATTCAAATCATCTTTTACTATCCACATTTTCTAATTGGTCAACGTTCTCTTTCTCCTCCTTTCCATTTAATGTGTGTAGTTCTGAACCATTACTTTTCTCTGCGTACCGATTGTTTGGATTGTTCCACCATTGAAGATCAGACTTGGCGAATGTAATAAAGAAAAATCCTGTGGATATAAGAACACCTGCCGCTATCCAAAACACCTTTTGCCACTGCTCGACGGAGTTCTGAAAAGGCGAGTAGAATAGCGAACATAATCTGCGTATTAGGGACTTACATTGTTTGTAGTGAGCAGTCCAACAATTAACGGGGAGATAAACCCTCCAATCGCTCCTGATCCATTTGCCATACCTAGCAGGATGCCTAGAAGTAAAAAACCGACTTAAAGACGGGATTAACGCCGCTCAAAAACGTACTGGCATAATTTGGACTGATATCGACTAAATTCGCCAACGCTCCCGTCGATGTCGCACCATGAATTCCAATGGCACCCGTTAAGAAAACAATGGCGAGGGTATAATTGCACCCTGAGTACGCCATAGCTATCATGCAGGCACCTTGCCCGATGTTACCTAAGAAGTCAATCATTAAAAACGTTAATAACCGAAGTGCACACCTACAAAGTGCTATTGCCAGTTTCCTAACGTTCGTGCGACTCATTTTGTTGGCGGTCAGGAGGTAATCGGCGTACGCCGAAAAGGCATAGGCGAAGATCATTCGCGCAAGATGAGGCAATGCAGAAAGGAACCCAGTCTACAACGTTAACAGTTAGAGGGTGGATGGCTTGACGCGCCCTTACCGAAGTAATATTCCATCCGTGCACACTTTTAAAGAACATTGGCCCGTTGGTCGTAACCGTAAATAAACCCCATAATCCTCCGATTTGTGCAAAGATGTTTGACCATACAGGTAGAGATGTTAGTATGGCTTTCCACGGCACTGGGGGCTAAAACAAAATTGATATTTATTTATTTGTTTGTTTGTTTGTTTGTTTGTTTGTTTGTTTGTTTGTTTGTTTGTTTGTTTGTTTGTTTGTTTGTTTGTTTGTTTGTTTGTTTGTTTGTTTGTTTGTTTGTTTGTTTGTTTGTTTGTTTGTTTGTTTGTTTTTGTTTGTTTGTTTGTTTTTTGTTGTTTTGTTTGTTTGTTTGTTTGTTTGTTTGTTTGTTTGTTTGTTTGTTTGTTTGTTTGTTTGTTTGTTTGTTTGTTTTTTTGTTTGTTTGTTTGTTTGTTTGTTTGTTTGTTTGTTTGTTTGTTTGTTTGTTTGTTTGTTTGTTTGTTTGTTTGTTTGTTTGTTTGTTTGTTTGTTTGTTTGTTTTTTTGTTTGTTTGTTTGTTTGTTTGTTTGTTTGTTTGTTTGTTTGTTTGTTTGTTTGTTTGTTTGTTTGTTTGTTTGTTTGTTTGTTTGTTTGTTTGTTTGTTTGTTTATTTATTTATTTATTTATTTATTGTCCCTCTTGCTCTAGGCCCACAACAGGCTTACGGCCAATTACAGATTGGACCGCATAATACTTTTTAGAGGTGTCCCTGCAGAAGGGCTGATATGGTCAGTGGTGGACTGGACAACTCCAAGATGTATGGAACGTTCAAGATGAGTATGGAGATTTTTTCAGTAGCGTCGCCGAAGAAGTATTGCGGCTGTGCTGACTGTGACTCCAAAGGGTTTGGGGGATGATAATGACTAAATAGAAATGGAGGATTCGATAGTCATATCTTTCAATATTACCCTGAAGCGGTGGAAAACATGGGGGGGGGGGGCGTAGCACCACAGGGTCTAAGCACTATACGAACATCTCACATCGCATGCTAGTTATAGAGAAAAGGACCATTTTTGCATATTCCCCAGAACTTTAGCTATCAAAAACGTCAAATGCCCTTAGCCCTTACACCAAGAGCCTATACGAAAATCTTGTGCTCGTTGTATGGCAAGGGGGGGATGGAATACTTTCCAGTTACAAAAATATTATGATAAGAAAAATTATGATATTATGATGAAAAGAAAAAAAGAATATTTATTTTTTTCTTGGAGAGTATTCCATACCCCTGAGCCCCCCCCCCCCCTTCACACTTAAACCATTACAGTTTCGGAAGGGACCATCGATCATCTGTGAGGTATGGAAAGGGACAGGGTAACTCTTTCTAAAAAAGTGTCGTCGTGTTAGATCACAACGTTTTGAGGGTAAACATAGCTCCATACCTCCATACGTAACATCCGTGACTATAGGTCAATAGGTGGGGGTCTGGATGTAATGGAATACCTTCTTCTGCGAGCTCTTGACTTACCTTCTCTTTTGAAACGCTCTGTCCGAGACTATCTAGAATGTATTCTTTCTCTTTTTCAGATATTCGGGGATGTTCGATGGGCGAATCGAACACGAAGAAATACCAAGTCGCATACCAAAGCGTCCCAAACACTCCTGAAATGTAGAAAACATACTCCCATCCGAATGTATGTATAATCACACCGCATAACGCAAAAGTCACCGCGGCCCCTACGGAACTACCTAAAAGAACCGATTTTATCCCCTTAGCGCAACGAAGAACACTCACCGACATATGCAGTCACAAACCTGCTGCGCTCGTTCGGAGGAATCCATCGCGCCGTCATGCTGTGCATCGATGGCCAGGCACATCCCTACAAGCAAAACGTAAGCGTCGGTGGACGAGGAGGAGCGATTGACTTACCGCGACGGCTCCTTGCAGCAATCGTACAATAATGAGATACTCCAAACCAATAAACGAAACGGTTGGGATTAGAAAGCACAGGAGAACGCTAACAAAATTGGAAAGCCCAAAGACCATCTTCGTCCCGTACTTATTCGCGAGCATTCCACCGGGTATCTGGGTCAGCCAGTGCAGCCAGAAGAACGCGCCCAAGATCAAACCCTGCTGGTACTCCGTCCACTCGAAACCGCCGATTTCCTCCCTTTCGGCAGAGACGTCCGTGAGGTTCGCCTTTGGAGTGGTCGCTATGCATTCGCTTGTGATGGTCGAGTTCTGGGCAGGTTTCGGCTTCACCATCGCGACCAAGGCGATGTTGAGATTGATGCGTATCATGTAGTTTATCGCGAATCCGGTAAAAACCAAATACCATAACACCGTTCGTGTCAAAATGCAGTTGTCTTTGCCTGAAAGCAATTTTCCACGATACGGGCACAATACAATGGCCATACTTACTCATTTTATTAGCGTATACTATATGCACCGATTGTGATTATTTAAGTAAAACTCTTTATCTTTGTACACTTAGAGATACAGTTTGTATTCAATTTACACACGTAGCGTGCTTATAAACTTAGAAATTTGTTTAAACAATAATTTTTGTGTTTGAACAATGAAAACACTGTCAAGAAATAATACGGTGAAGATATTTATTGTTAATCTTATCTAAGAAACGTCGTTATCAGGGACCTGGGTATACAGAAGTGATGTTTGCCACAGTTCGACTGTCATGAGTGGGGCCTTATTTTTGAACACTTTCCACAAACTCACCATGCAAGATCAAAGGCGCGAACAAAAAGAATCACTTGTCACGTTTTTCCAAACCTTATCTTGTATAGGTAGGTAGTATCGAACACTTCAAGCTTTTTATATTATCAAAGTCGTAATTGCCTCTAATCAATGAAGGTTAGATACTAATGGTTTCACTTGAAGTGTGCCCAAAAAAGGCATTTAGGTACCTTTCGCCATTTATAGGTCGAGATTGTCACCCTTGATGTCTTAAGGGATAAAGGCAACACCGTCAGACTGCTATCACATTTCGCGGTGATGATCCAAGTAAACAACTCAAAAGTGTTGATCATTTCTTCGCTTTGTGATCGTGACGTTGGAGGGGAAAATTATCGTACAAAAATAAGGAAGCGGAATATTTTTTCAATGACGCGCTATTGTCTGATAATGATGGGAGATTAGGGCAAAGTGGAATAGCTAAAAAATACAAATTCACATGCATTTAGAATAAACCATTGCAATTTGGAAATATTCAGCTTGTGTTAAGGAGGAGGTTTTATTTTTTACCCCAGTACGTGGGGGCAAAGTAATACCACAGATTTAAATATACTAATTTAAAACTGTGGTAATACTACCCGTGTTGTGACGTACCCACCTACCTTTCGCCAGGAAAGATTGCCGGTCATAGAACACTTGATCCCGGTCTACAATCTATGTTTTTCTAAAGATGTGAGCGACTTTCGGGATAGTATCGTGTCAATGTTGAACAAAAAGACTTTTCCTTGAACAATAGCACGATCCTATACCGGAAGTCGCTCGCATCTTGAGAAAAACATAGATTGTAAATCGACACAAGGTGTGCTGTGACCGGTAATCTTTCCTGGCGAGAGTTATAGATACTTGCAGCTAGACACAGTGACTAGATACATCTAGGTACCTACATATCTAAACTCCCAATCACCGGCGGTGAAGATACTACTCCACGGGAGATGAAAGGCTGATCACCTTTCCCAAACATTATGTTGATAACAGTAAAGTAAGGAAAAGTGGAGGGGGGGATCTCTAAAGCACCTAGTGATCAAGAGGTGTGAAGTATCCCTGAGGATAGGGCAACTTGATCATCCTTTTCTGTGGGAGCAGTAAAGGTTCCACATATTTGTTAATGCGGGGCGTAGGTACCTATAGCATATGGGATAGTATGGAATATCTCTCTAACAGACAAGTTCAAGAGCTCCCATAGGACACAGAGATATGTAAATATTTTGTCGGAGATCGTAGCACCAGGACGTTGGGGAAAGGGGTGTATGGAATACTTCCCCGGAAAAGCAAATATGTTCATTATTTCCATAAAGGCCCTAAGTGTTTGAGGACTGGGGAAGGGATTAGTATGGGGTTCGGTTGAGTGCAGTCATTCAATACTTTTCAGGGAGATTCTCCTCTCCCTGAAAAGCATTGAACCTACCTCAAAAGTAATCGTAAGATGCTAAGGGGAGGACGTATAATCATCGAGATTCGAGAAGTACGCTATACGCCCCACGATAACCAAATGTATTCCCAAAAATTATCGTGAGAGTAGGAAGAGAGTTGTTCTCTCTTGTTCTGGGCCCTCAACAGGCTTGCGCCCAATTACAGAATGACCCGCATGATGCTTTTTAGAGGTGCCTCTGCAGAAGGTTTTTTACGAATACAAAGATGTACGGCAGAAAAAAAGAAAGATATGGAAACTGTTGGTTTCAACAGTACGTTGCACCCGCGCACAACGCCCTAATCGTGCGAGAATGGATACCTATCGACATGTTTTTCATTTTCCAGTGCTTTGTGCGCGAGTGCCCCATCCTGTTGGAACGAGCAGTTTCAAGTTTTTTTTTTTTTTTTGTACCGCACATCGTTGTATTCGTAATTTAAAAAATGCTACTCAATACAGTATGTACTTTTTTACGGGCCATATAAGAACATAAATTTGATGACGATTCCTCCGAAACAAAACGTCGAATTGAAAATCTCTCAACGGGCCCTTGTAGAGGTAAAAAAGTGGCAATGAGAAAATTCTTTTTATTTTCTTGTATCTGCTCAAATAATTTTCAGTTTTTCTGGAATATCTTCGGAATTAATCGAAATTTTCTGGATTTCTTTAAAGCATGATAATAACTCATTAATTGCGCATCTCTTCTCTAATTTAACCATCGTCGTATCTTCTGTGGTTTCGGAGATCCCCATCTCGGACACAGTGTATACCTAAACAAGAACCATTATCTGTAATCGCATCATCAAGGGGGCGGAGTTTCAACCCACAAATCTTCGGTTCCCCTCCCCAAACGGCACTAAACTTGTTAGTCGCCATTATGCCTATAAAAGCACAAAATTCCTGTTCCGTTAGTAGGCGTCTTTTCAGACCGAATACAATTGGCCAACTAGATCTAGTTGATTAACGCATGGTCTTCGGGACCGCAGCGGTAGGTACGTGCAGCAACAATCTTTTTCTCTGAATTATGATAGAAATTTAAATGTATACGTATACAGGGTGAGTTTGTGTTACAAAGCGATATCTCGAAGACGGTTTTAAATATTGTTATTATGACCTAATAAGGATATGGGGAGACAAATTTTAACATATTTTTTAATTTCTTTCGTTTCGCAATTTTTAAGGGTGGGGGCGACTTTACTTCCCCACAATTATGAAAAGTGCGGCTTCGTTAGACAAAATAACATTTTTCAAGAACCCTTTGAGTCGAAATCGATTGCCCTAAGGAAAATTAACCAAATTTAAGTTTTTACCATTTAGTCCATTTATTCCCTCAACCCTTTGAACGTTAGAAAATGTGTAACCTAGTGACCAAGTTTGTTATTTCGTTGTTATTATCCAAAATAACCATAACTCCGTAACCATGGAAGCAATTAAGCAAAAAATATAACCACGATACGATACGGTACCTAGTGTTTTATGTAGATTCGAATTTTAAAGGCAAAAGTGTATCATTCCATGTAACATGTTAGTCACTCCCACCTCTAAAAAAAGAAAAAATGTAAAAAGAACCATATTAAAATTTGTCCTTCCATTTCCTTATTAAGGTATCAAAATATTTATGACCGCATGTTCAAAATATCGTGTTGTAATGCTTTTAAAAACTCACCCCGTATACAGTTTAAACATATTAATAGTCTCTGAGGCAGCTGGGTTATACCTAGGTAATATATGGACCTGTTGCCTCTCTCTGACGCCTAATCGCCCACTCCATATCCCCCCCCCCCCGCCCCTGGCGATTATGTTAGCATGGTACTTTTCCTCAATGCCAAAAACTGTCAGCCTCCATTGAGATCCTTCACGACTATATGGAAGAGACACCAGGAATTCTGCACCGCCACCAGGTCACCAGTTTCGCCCTTTACTTGTGCGGTTTCCAACCACCTTCAAGAACTTTTGGCAAAGCGATTTTGTACCGTATTCGCCGGGTTAGCCGTTAGTCTATACCCAGAGGGTCATTGGTACCTATCTATGATCGCTACTTTGAGTTATCCTTCGAGACACCCGACTTTTTTTGGGGTTGCCCTTCGTCGGCGCGACGGTTGGGTTGGCGTCCAATCCAACCTCACACACACGACAAGGCCTAACGCTGAGGGGGTTAGGTACCTTTACTTACCTATACACTTTAGTGGTCCTTCTTCTCCTTACTCTTCACAATAAAGATTTGCGTTTATTCGGTAATTGGTATTCGGTCCTTATTTATACAGAGAATGTACAATAAATGATTTGATTATGGGAGTTACCCACAAGCATTGAATAATTCAGATTTATTATTCAATGCTACAAGTCCAAAGACTTCATTTGTTCTAGGTACCTTTTACGCCCATTTTTTTGGCCCTCAAAGGGTTGACTGGGTCCTCGTCGATCGTTCGATATAAATTGATTAAGGCCTTGGTAGCGGTACCTATACCAGTACTGGATTCCTATACTATACATCAGCTATTAGCTATTGTTATATCGCAGACTGGTGGACTCTCAGACGGGAGAGACCCCCAAAGAATAAAACAGATCCGAAATGGCTTTAAAGGTTCTAAAATCTCATATTTCTGAAACGCCCCCTAAATTCCCTTAAAAGCTGCTATGAAAAATCCCCCAGCACCACGTCACTTTCATTGCCATTCCCAAAAAATTAACATGGGGGTAGGTATAGGTATTGCGCATGTGGGTTGTATAGGGAATATGCTCGCCGGACGCTTTTTTAACGTAATTTTCCATACCCCTCAGAGCTACATAATTTCCCGTACCTATACTTCTTATGGAACACGAGAACCTGTTATTTTTTACAACGGGGTCGTGAGACTACACTCAAACGGGTTAATTACCCCGCAAGAAGGTAATGGTGGCATGACACTTTTTATTTCTAATATACCACGAGCCTTCCTATCGTAATTAGCACCCCGCGACCCCTTCTGTTTCTACCGAACGTCTACGGATGCCTTTCTGACTTCAATTATTATGCACTGCAATGAGAAGAACAGGGCAAGTTAAAGACGTCCACAGAGCGAACCGTTACCGCCATCGTTTATTTTTGACTCGATTTATAATAGCGATCGTAGGTACGTGAAAGTAAAAAGGTAAAAGTAAAATTAATTGAATTAATGGAAAAATGGCATTGATGATGTTGATGAGTCGTTTGATACTCGCGTAGTGATCACGTGGCAGCCTTAACGCGCTTCTGATTGGCTGCTTGTCAAAGAGTCGTTTCGTCTACATCCCTCAGTTCTTGTTCCAACTTAGCAGCCACGCTTAGGTACTAGTTCGTGCCATAATTTTGTGAGTTTCAAGGGTTTTTTTGTGAAAGATCGCCGAACGAACATTACGATGGGGTGAGTTTTTGAATTTTGATTCTTTTGGTGCATGCATCATACGTTAATTCGCTGTAATGCCGTTTTTATCGAAATATACAAATTCGTGGAGATGACGAAAAAATGGCGTCGCGTTTTTCGTACATTTCGTACAGGTCCAAAATTATTTTAAGGGTGAATTTTCCCTGTAATTGCAGTTAGTGGCATTCCCTGATGGGTGGTATTTTGTATTTTGTCGTCGAATTTGGATAAATAACGCATTTGCACTTAATTCGGAGAAAACCAATTTTTTGCTTATCAAATTAGGTATAGGCAATCGTCTCTGTCTGACGGGTACCGGCGTAGATAAGAACGTTGCAGGTGTCCTTCTTATGTCTACCCAAACCAGAGATGGATTCTACGCGTAGGGCTTAGCAACGAATTTTCATTCCAATTTGTAACAATCGGATACGTAGTGCCGTGTGTGTTTTGCGCATTAGTTTTCAATAAAAACAAGTGATAAACCTGCA